AAGAGAGGAACCCACATAGCGATCACCAACAATCATATACAGATGTAATAATCTTCCTGATACCAGAGCATTAACAATGCAACTTGGAACCTCTTCAATGGCTCTTTCTAACATTGGAGTCAAGATATCCAGGACACCAACTGGACAATCATATCTTTGAGGTAAAGGCCACTTTTCTAAAAAAGCACTCAAAAGAACTCCTGGAGCGGGACCGTCTCTAAAATGTAGCATTTTCAACTTAAGCGATATCGCAGAACGAGAGTCAAGTCCGATTTGAATACGATGGAGGTCAGAAATAAATGAAGGTACTCTGAAAACACATCTCCGGATCAAGCTTAGTGGAAGATCATGATTGCGACTGAAAAGAATTAGTTCGACCGGTTTTCTAAAACCTGTTGGAATGGATGAATTATAAGTTTTGAAAAATTGGCGCGCTCGTTTCAATCTAGATTGGCTGTTGACATTGTCAATTAGTGGAAAAGAAGCGGGGATAGTTATCCCAACGGAAACCTCAGTAATTAGACAAGCAAGATCTTCAAGATCTGACTGCAAAAGACTATTAATAGAACATGTTTCCAGTGCGCGCTTCGTTTCAATTTCACCAAATGTTGGAGGGGTAGAAGCGCAAATTTTTGAAAAAAAGTCGTACATTTCTTCGTAGATGGAAATTAGGTCTTCTGGAGGAGTAGAGGCAGTGACTCTTCGTGGATGAGGAAGGGAGAAAAGGCATGTCACACGGCTGTTTGAGGGTGGATTTGGTGAAACGAGTTCAAGATGCACATTCTTAGCAGTGGCAGCAGCCTCCCCGATGAGTTTATAGCCAAAAGTGAGATCAATCCAATAGTGAAGATTGGAAGAAACTGCGTCACACTCAAGAACACGGCGATGGTAAGTGAGAAAATCACTTGGTGTTCCCTGAAACCAATCGGGAAGTTGGAGGTCAGGCATGTCAGGGTGGATGGAAGAGAAGATAGAGCAATCAGTGAAGAATTCGGGAATGCATTCCTCTGGTGTGGTTGCATAAAGACGTTGGAGGCTTGAAGGAAATTCTTGGGGACGGTAGACAGACCGAACGTAGCGTTTTAGCACATCCAAAGGAGTCTGTCTGGCCTAGATTAAAGCAAGTGTTTTACTAGTTGAAATGAAGCCAAACACGATAATCACAATGAATATAAAAATAGTAAGGATAATTAGCTAACGTTAAAAAGAAATCTTACGAGTAAAACATTTATAGTCCCATGTTATCTGCCTGCGAAATATTTACTTGAGAATACTCATCTTAGATACTCCACCTATGAATTTGCACAAAAGGGCACACAAAACCGAATGCCTTTAAAAATATAGGTCAGCTAATAAATTACAAGCCGTGTTATCGCTATCAATCTCACCTACCTGCTATCAACAAGTTGAAATGATCTCATCCGCTGGCCTGACAACCAAATAATGAGGATTAAGCAATAGAACACCACGACATAATGTCTTCTACTTCCCAGGACATAAAAAACAATGCATAAATAAGATTCGTGAAGCTCTAATTTTCACTAACAACCTATCTTTGACTCTCTTACTATTGATCTTTCTCTCATTGAGAATTGCCGTTATTAAAATCTAAAAAAGGGTAATAAAGCTATATGACATTGACAACCAGCATGCAGGACGGTTTTCTAACCGGGCAAAAACAGCTTAAATGGCCACTCATAGTCAAGGGACCAAAATCGAAGAATTGACATAATAATTCCTATGTACCAGTGGCATACTCATAAGATAAGCAACTGTCAAGTCTGAGGTCATGACATCAACCCATAGGTGCATATTTATTTATTTCAAATGGCAGGCGTTTTGATAGCTATCATTAGCCCTTTAGTTGACTTCGGGCTTCACAGAGGGAAGGGTCATTAAAGTAGCAGAAAGTCGAGGAAGGGGAGCAGAAGGGCGATTCACGGATGTAAAAGAGGCAGACAGACACAAAGGTAGAGAAAAAGGCAAGATGAATGCTGTGGAAGGGGTTGAATATGACAAGCAGTCGGGCTATGGTAGTTTGAAGTCAGAAGTCAACTGCCGGTTAATAGACTTTTTTGCCGTATGAGTATACGTTGCCCAGGGTGCACCACGTGGAGGTGAGTCTATCGCACACCCCACTTTATAATATAAAACTGGTGAAAAATGGAGACTATTACCCAGTGGCCATGTTGATTCCATAGTACCATGGTATTCCAATTTATTATGAAAGTATCCAGTTACTAATTCGATGGGACCAACTAATAATGTTTTTGAGACAATGATTAAAAACGCTAAATAAATGTTCTGTATTTTGTGAATTTTAAATAAACTATTTCAATCAATTAGTTTATTGTGAAGAGTAAGTAAAGAAAGCTTTATTTCAGAGGGAATCTCATTTTTTTCTTCTTTTTGCAGTGCATGACACTTATACGTTTTTGTAATGCAAGGAAATCTAGTACCTGGCCACTACCTATCGCTGGATTACAGTCAACTCAGACCAGGAGAGAAATTAGAGAGGATGACACGATTTCAAGGAACTTTATTAATTTAACGAACTACTTATTATTTTATACATGGCATCTTCATGTTATTAATTTTTGGCGATATTATCACTATCAGACTGATAACAATTTATGACCCGAATTATTGCCATAACTGTTAGTTCTTGTTCCGTCAGCTTCTTATTACTAGTATAACTGAGTTCACGAAACAGAAAGACTAAATTTAATGAAGAACAATGAAGTGACCGACGATGGTTAATCTGTTCATTCCAGCCCTCAATTGCAACCAACAGAGGCTCTATGATAGAGTTTTATAAATCTTTTTGAAAAAAGGCATATTACTGACCAAACACTTTCAATAAAACTTCCTAATTTGTTCCCATAACTTGAAAAGCGTAGGTATTGCTCAAGCAAGATTCTCAATATTTTGAAATTTTCTTTGATAGGGAGGATGCAATTCAGAAAATTCAAGCACTTATAGAGAGAGGCGACAAAGAAGAAAAGCAGCACAACACAGATATGAAGGAATTAATTAGATTGATTGATCATAATAGAAAGCTTACTGACTACATACGGGCTAAGGTCAAAGAACGTGATGAGGATCCTCAACTTCATGCTTGGAGAGTAAGTTGAAAGGAATTTTGCATAAAATTATCTGATTTCAGGCCAAGAAAGCTGCAGAGGCGGAAAGTCAGCAAAAACAGACCGAAGAGACGCTGGACAAATACGAGCAGGCTTTCAATAAAATGCTCAAACTAACTCAGGCTCCCAGTTCCGACAGGCTTATGGATAGTTACATCCGTAATGAAGATAGAAACTTCTCACTTTTCAATTATATTATCGAAATCTATGAAGAGGTTGAACAACTGCAAACTAAAATTGATAATGTGCGTTCAGTATTTTTGTTTGAACAATCTCACGCTTGGGTATTTAAACGTCTGTTTTCTTTCTAATAGCTAAGAAAGCAGATAATGGAGAATCAAGAACTAGTAGATAAAGAAACTGAGAGTATAAACAAGGAACTGGATTTTCTGAGGGCACTTAGCGAGGGCATAGATGAAAATAATATTGATATTCAAGGAGAGTTTGATAAAACACAATCATTCTTACAAGAAACAGCTGCCATGATCGGCGATTTAAGTGAGAGCCTGCACTGTGATACGTAAGTGCGGTTGATAATTCAAAAGGTGTAATCTCTAGGAGTTTGATTCAACAACGACTATGCGCCTCGAAGGAAGTCACGCTTGAAACTTTACTTGAATATATGGCTCTAGTTGAAGAAAGGGTTAATAATCTCCTATTAATTAGACAAAGAATTGCTAAAGCTAATGCCGATGCACCAAATTCAGTGAAAACAAATTTCATGGGTGGAAATCTGAAATCCAAAAGCGTGGCACAACCGATAATTGCTCCGCCTAAAATCCCAGAAGGCTTTGATGCTAGTAAGTTACCTCTATAGACTATAATACTAAAAATATATATATATGTATCGAAGCTTTTTGATAGGGGGGGGGGATATTTTATGCCTTAGGCTTTCTTGACTTCGAAATTTATCTAA